ATTTTCATTTTCTAAGATAAATATAATAGTAAAAAAAATAATAAATAACAAAATTTAAATTAAATGAATAAAAAAATTTACCAAAGGTTAGACGTGGCTTGGCTTGATTGGAATAGGGCTCGACTACTAAGACAGAAGGCAACTCAGGAAAACTTGGTTCGAGGCTCGGCTTGGCTCAACTAAAGGTATTGGAATCATGTTGCGAACTGGGTTGCGCAAGAGATAGGGTCAAGTAAAGCAAAACGTGCGTATCTCAATTGGGTTATAGGATTCAAAAAGCATCGTTCCTTCTTTGTATAAAAGCCACAATTTTTTTGTTTTTCCCAGAATAGCCTATCATCTTCTCTTTCTAAACCTTTTTTTTTCTCTGCCTTTCTTTCTACCTTTAGAACCCAGACAATCAAAAACTAGTTTTTTTCACTGGTTTTTGAAATTTTCATCAGAATTTTGCCGAAAACATCAACCTTGATTAGAAAATTCAATTGAAAAATTCAAACATTCATAAAATTTTCCAAATTTTTTTCAAAAAATTCAAAAAGAATTACCCAATACAATCTCCTAAAAATCAATTCAAAAATTCCAAACCACAAACAAAACCTAAAACCATAAAATAATTCCTAAAATCAAAATTCTAGGATTAAAACCCTAAAACTCTTTAACACCTAAAATCCGCTTTAACAATTTTTACCTCTTCTCCTTGTGTGTTTTTGTGAATTTAAGTGCCATTTATATAAGAACTTTCATCAAAAACTTTAGGGTTTTATTAATTAATAGAGATCAAATCTACCAGATTCGATCCCAAGCACTGCATGATTCGTGGCCTGTGCTTTAATCCATGCCCTAATCCCATTTGATTGTGGTCAAAGATCTTTTAATTTTCAACTTTGATCGACTCTATATTTTTGGATTGAATTCCCTAGAAACTTTCTGATTTTTTTTCGTTCTTTTTTTTTTTAGTTTTTATAAAAACTAAAAAAACAAATAAAAAAATTGTTGGGCTAAAGCCCACACCAAAATAAATCATGTATTAGGCTCAAAGCCCAAACAAAACAAAACTATCTGTTGAACTCAAAGCTCAAATACCAATTGAGATAAGTTTACTCAAAGCCTAAAAAACCTAATAAACATTATAAAAGTATGACGATCTTTATAAAATAGAAATAAAAAATTCAAATATAAACTCAAATGAAATGAGACATAATAAAGTTACATTATAAAAGTAAGACGATCCCTATAAAATAAAAATAAAAAATTCAAATGCAGACTCAAATGAAATGAGATATCTATAATGTTCATTCAACATTTAATCCATAATTAAAATATTAATTTTATAATTAGATGACCAAAATAAAATGTCATCAAAGGTAATTTACCATCCATGTACTTTACCTTTTACTTTATTATGTAACTTCTAGTTTTTCCTTCTTGTCTAGATCAATGCAAAAAATTCAATGCCTATATATCTAGAGCTTAGACCAAACCTGTACTAGACCTTAATTATAAATTTAACTTATTTAACTTTGAATCGCTGTGCAAAACAGAGAAGGGAGTGGCAAAATGGATCAACCTAGCTATGACAGCATTTCTGATTCGGGGTTTCATCCAAACTTCAAATTCATTTTTGGTGGATATATTTTAATATATCTTACTTACGTATATTCTCTGTTTGCTAGAACTGTAATATGTAGAGACTGCTACGTTAGCTTCATCTCATCCCATTTGGATATTACCGGTTCAAGTGGCTTTTTAAAACATTTTCTTATTAATGTTTGTTTATATTAAATTATATGAATCTATAATATTTATAAATAAAATTAATTATAAATATATATATCATATCTTATATTCTTTAAATTTTGAGTCTAAGTTCGTATCTATTATATTTTAATATTTATGAATTTAATAATTTATAAATCTATGGGATCAATGAACCTAAATAATTATGAATGAATTTGTTTTAACTATTTATGAATTAATAATATTCATAAACTCAATTAATTATAGATAAATATACTTTTGTGTTTATAAATCAAATTCAAATTGAATGAATTTAATTATTAACGAACTTAATTATTCATGAATTCAATTAATTAAAAATGAATATATTTATTTTTTAATGTAATTTAAATTTAACATATTTATTAAATCATTGCGTTAGATCCATGGCATGCTTTGCCCTACATCATGTTTGTGTGTATTTTATTAAGCTTTCGTCACTTCAGCGTCAGGCGTTTTGCTTCACTTTATAAAAGAAAAAAATAATTTATCTTATATTTAGTTATTTGATTTAGTGATTAAATAAACTTTAAAAAAGATATAGGCTCGAGGTTTGACTTAACCTTTCCTCCTTTCCTATTAACGTAGAGTACTGTCCGCTTGAAATATAAAAAAAAAAAAGAAACAATTTGTCTTGAGATTGAAAAGGCAAGCGATAAAAAAGACAATTCCTCAGTACTAGTAGAAAATGGTGAAATCATCATTAAATCATTGGTGAAAGAAGGACTAACGATGATCCTATTCTATAGGAAAAGGAGTAGGAGTCAATCTTCTTTGAATTTCAAGGAAAAAATTGAATAATTATGTCATTTGGTAAAAATTTTTTACAAAAAAAATAATATAAAAAATTCGTAACCATCCCCCGATTATGACATTAATTATTTTATAACCATATTTCTGAAAATTCAATATAAATTATATATAATGTAAACAAAATCATTTAATACGTGATTGAGAATAAGATAAGGAGATGTGAACTCTTTGATAAGGACCTTTTCGTAATAACTTTCTCTCAACATCTTAATTCGTTTATGCATAAAAATTACTAAATATGCTATACTTAATAAAACAAATGATGCTCTAAACTAATAGAGGTGTATGAATACAATTTAATCGAATTCGGAGCAAGTAATTTTATTTTTTTATTTTATTTTTTAAATGTCAAAGTTTAATAAAAATATCGTTGAATAAAATATTTTAATATTTTAAATATATTTAAAATTAAACTAAAGTCAAAAATACATTATTGAAATGTGAAGCTTAAAAATCTATATTCAAACTTTAACTGAAGAAGAAAAAGATAGTGGCATAATGGCAAATGAATTAAGGGTCATTGGTAGGCATCAAATAATTCAACAAAGCTTTTGATTTTCCTTTCTCTCTCTCTCTTCTCAAAATCATTTAACGCCGCAAGCGCGTTAATTTATCCTTTTTTATTGATAAAATTAATAATTTTATCCGTTAATTTTGTATATATTATAAATGAATATTTTTGAAAAAAATATTGAATTCGCCTGCCATCATTATCCAAGGAGAGCTGTTATCATTTTTTTCTAACCACTCTCGCCGTTAATAGATGCAAGTACCATCAATTATTTTGAAGATGTCGTTGCCTATGAGGCTAATTGCCACGTGTTCTGTTCAGATCCAACCTAATAGATCTAAAAGGGGGAATAGTGTATAATTGCATTAGGTCATGTTTGGATATATAAGATATTAGAAAGAATAAGATAATAATTATTTTATATTATATTTTATTTATATTTAAAAAATAAATAGAATTATAAAAAAGATTAATTATTATCTTAATCAATTCTTTCAAAATAAAAAAAATTATTTTTAATTTATAAGATTCAATTTTTATGTGTTATTATATCTTTAAAAATCTATTAATAATTTAAATTATATAAATTTAAAAAAAAAGATAATTTCAACTAATAAATAAATTATTTTATCATAATTTTTATACACATCAAATATAAAATAAAATAATATTATTTAATATAATTATATTTATAGTACCATATTATTTTATTTTATCATAATTTTAAGTATCAATCTATCATAAATATGCTAAATTTAATTTGGAAAATCTCTGCTTGATAAACAAACAAATTTCTTAACAAAGAATGATACAAGTGATAAATTACTTTGAACCTTTTGAGTTCTTACTGCTGATTTCTCTTCTATGTTGGAAAAAAAAAAAGGAAAAAGGAAAAATGAACAAAAAGATTCTTTTTCTGTGATCATGGGCAAATGATATAATCATGAGGGAACGAAAACTCTTGCTGGTTGTAAGGATCAAGCTTGTTATGGCATGGAGACGGCCCTGAAGGAGGCACTGGCCCTCGAGGCAGCTGGGTGTCGAACAAATGTCCAAAACTTTTAGTATCTTTGTTCATTGGTCGGATGCATCCTCCAATGGAAGCCCTGGCCAGTAACAGAAGAAAAAGAACGACAATAAACCTCAAACGCTTGAAAGATCCCTCTGAAGACCGCATCGTCAGTTACTTCCCTTTTGGTTGTTTCAGACTTTCAGTTTCAGCTGCTTATGTGTTGTTACAACAACAGAAGTGAAAAAATATATACAATGAAACAGAAAGAGACAGCGGTCGGATTTAAATGCCTATGATTTTCAATGCATAGAATTATTAATCTGCCACTGAAGAATGGATTATCTTTTTCTCTTTTTTATTGCTTAGTTTTCAAGTGAAGTCATAATTGAACAATCCAATAGCAGCCAATTTAGAAACACAGTGAACATTTATCTTTGAATTTCTGGTTTCCTTTATTTCCAACTCTTTGCAGTCTACATTCTACAAAACAAAATAAAAATTGTAACCAAAGTCTGCTCATTTTTTTGCGTAAAGAACGGACATTTAGAACGGGCTCTAAAACGTGAATAATATGCATCATCAAAACTGTAAAAGGCTGATCGATCATTGTGGGTCTTTGAAGTAGAGTTCCAGGAAATTTCCCAGTCCTTTGCTTGGAAAATTCCTTGGACTTGTTATTTGCGCCTTGTCCTCCCAATCTGTTATAGGGTTTGGGGTTGTTCTAGGCCCTCCATGTTGTTTGCATCCATGGATGGAGCCTATGGGTCTATTAAAAACACGAACCACACCATCAACCCAAAAGAAAATATTTGGCCCAAACCAAAATGTCTCATACTTGATTCGGGAAGAAAACCCATGGATTAGGCTCGACAAGGCTTTAAAAGGATGCCATCTAACTAAAGCCTTGAGGAAAGAGGGGGGAAAGTATAGTACCCATTTTTGTAGGGGTGAAGAAGAAAGATTTTGGCATTGGGTCATTTTTCTCAGAAGCCGTGCCAAATTCCCGAACTTGGGTGCTTTCTATAAATCAATTTTCGGTAAGGTATGGAGACCTCAATCCACCAATCTTGTTTACATGTTCATTTCTTTTCCTTTTTTTGATTTTTTGCTCAAATTACTGTAATATCTAAAACCTGCCGGGTGATCTCGTAAAAAATAAAAAAAAACTTCCTGGAGGCCTTCGAAACATGAAATTTTGATTTTTAATGTGTTGTTTCATTAATATAGCAATTTCGCATATAGTTTTCTGATGCTTCTGTCTGTTACTGGGAGTTATCTGTTATCAGGTAACAGTTGAAAGCTCACTGGCCTATGAGAACTTAACAGACAAAGAATTAATGCCTGGAATACTTTCTGTTTCCTCAATTGTTTTGCCTCATTGGTGTACAACTTCAAGGTACATTGTTGAATTATAGATTACCCTTTGTTTAGTAGTTGGTTGAGCCTGATTTTATTTGTCTGGAGTGGTAGGCGTGTTGTCAGAATGGCTGCTGCTCACACTCCAATTGCTGGAGTATCGTTTGAAGCCGTGACAATAAAGCCTCCTTCACACCCTACATATGATTTAAAGGGCATTATAAAACTTGCTCTTGCTGAAGATGCTGGGAATCGATGTTTGGTTATCATTTGATTTTACAATATTCTTTCTTGCTTTGTTTCCTTTTTCAGTGTTTTCATATTTCATAATCTTTGCTCTACTAAGTTGGTAATGATGTTTAATGGTTTTTATGAAAACAATAAGCTAAGGCTTTGATGAAGGGGGAGCAAATATTCAGTTAAATCTTTAAATTTTTTCTGCATTCAAATCCTATAACATTTGGGTTCAATTGCAGGGGATGTGACTTGTATGGCCACCATCCCATTTGACATGGAAGTGGAAGCCCATTTTCTGGCAAAAGAGGATGGTATCATTGCTGGAATTGCACTATCGGAGATGGTGTTTCAAGAGGTTGATCCTTCTTTGAAGGTATAGAGGCACTGTACTTTCTGTATTGGATTATCCATATGGTTTGCGTGTCTGGATCACACACTCCCTCCTTTTGATGTGCATTCTGATATCAGGTGGAGTGGTCTCGAAAGGATGGAGATTATGTTCGGAAGGGGCTGCAATTTGGAAAAGTTTATGGTAAGCCAAAAAGGTGTTTCTTAATTGTGTATAAGAAACTTGTATTAAAATTATATGCTCCCTCCATATAGGAAGGGCACACAGCATTGTCGTAGCTGAAAGAATAGCTCTGAACTTTATGCAGCGGATGAGTGGTATAGCAACACTAACTAAGGTGCTTCCATTTCCTTGAGTTTTATAAATAAAGAAATGATTTTCTCTTAATCATAGCTAAGTTTCCCTATTGTAATCAAGCAAATCTTAGTTTACTTTACAGAGCAGATAACAAGGATGGTTGTAGGAAAACAGGAATTGCGTAAGTTACATTTTAGATTGTTGTGAACTGGAAATGAAAAACAATAAGGTTGACAAGTATAAGTTTTATTTGACCAAACATAACTGCGTGGATATTCTTCTAGAATTTTCAAGTTTTTTATTACTGCTTATTAAGTTGCCTTGTGTTTCCACCTGTATATATGATCAAAACATAGCTAATTCACAATTTTTAACGGACTAATACTTGTAAAATGCAAATTATATCATGAATTCATTCTTGAAATGCAAATTACATCATGTATGTACGGTAAATATGATAAAGAAACAAGACATGAAATAAAATTCCCAACTGTTTTAACCTATGAATTCGGTCATGAAATGGAAATTGCATCATTTATGCACAGTAAATATAATTAAGAAACAAGATACCTAACAAAAGCTTATCGGTGCCATAACTTTGTAATGTGTACAAAAGACTGTTTTAGAATGTTAATTATTCTGCAGGCAATGGCTGATGCTGCACAACCTGCATACATCTTAGAGACAAGAAAAACTGCTCCAGGCTTACGATTGGTGGATAAGTGGGCGGTGTAGATCATTTCTGAGATTTTACTTTTTAGTTCTTAGTTCTTTCTCTTATGCCTTTGTTGATATTGTTGAAATTTTCTTCTTGTAGGTACTAATTGGTGGAGGAAGGAATCATAGACTGGGTTTGTTTGATATGGTGTTGATAAAGGATAATCATATATCAATAGCTGGAGGAATAAGTAATGCCCTTAGATCTGTTGACCAGTATTTAGAGCGAGAAAATCTTCAAATGGAGGTTGAGGTAATTTCTTCCGATGGTAAAATCTATAGCAAATTAAATATTTTGTGCAGTGGACTAGCCAACAGAGTTGGGTATGAATCTATAAATCTTTATGTGGTACATCATGTATCCCGCAACTTGATTCAACTCCCCGTTTTGAAGCATAAATCATTGCTGAAAAATATGTTTAACTTGAATTTTGTGATTCAATATATCTTGCTTCTAATTAGTAATGCGTCATAGTGGTTCTTCTCCTCTGTGTGTGTGTGTGTGTTTGTGGAAATGAATCAATCGGTCAATGCGTTGTGGCAACTGTAGCAGATATGTTGAAAAATGTCTTTTTCAAGGTTGAGACCCGGACACATGAGGAAGTAAAGGAGGTGTTGCAATATGCATCTCAAACGAAGACTTCCTTGACCCGAATAATGTTGGATAATATGGTTGTACCTCTTCCAAATGGCGATGTTGATGTGTCTATGCTTAAAGAAGCTGTGGAGCTGATCAACAGGAAATTTGAGACGGAGGTATCTCATGATTTTATCATGTAGTTTTTCACTTCATTTATTTAGTGCCTACAGACTGTGTAGAAAGATACTGCTGATGTCTGTTGTTTCATACTAAATTACTCCTGTTCAGTGATGTGTTAGTTAGAAGGCGTTTGTTCTTTCTTTTTCTTTATTTGGGGGTCATGATGGGGTTTGTGAAACAATGTTTCACTTTATTTGCTTGGCTTTTTGATCTTCAAATATGTGAAACCTGAGCAAAATTATGCAAGAAAGATTGTATGGAATCTCTTGCTACTTAATTTTTTGGAACATTTAAGATGGAATTCATTTTTGGTGACTTACCTTGTCATTCTTGCTCATGTAAACAAACAAATTTCTTAACAAACAAACTTTGAATTTTTCGACAAGTTTTTTGATCAGGTTTGAAGATTTCGACGACTTTTTCTAGATTTCGATAGAAATTCAATCGGAATCTAGGATTGTTTAGAGAGAGAAAGAGAGAAAAAGAGGAGAAGAGAGAGAAAAAAAGAAACGGTCTGTTGAAAAACAGAGGTTAGAGCTTTTTATACTTGTTGAAAACGTCGTTTTGGCGTTACTATTCCCAGAGGATCTGCGCTTTGAAATCGGGTGATCCGACTCGAGCGCCAACCCGCGTTTGACCCGCGTGTGACTCGAGTGCTAGCCAACCATTGGAACCTAGTCGAGCCGACCTCCTTGAGCCGCGTCTTCAAGCCGCTATTTTTATCTTGAGCCGAGTTGTTTTCTAGTCGAGCCGAGCCGTTCAAAAGGTTTTTATATATATATATATTATTATTTATTGATTAGATTAGAGTTATTTAGTATTTTTTATTTTATTTTATTTTTATTTTTATTTTATTTTTTTAAAATAAAATTCCAAAAAAATATTTTTAAGAAAAAATTGAAAGTATTAATTTTTTTAAAAAAATAAGTTTTTCTAAAAATATTTTTGAGGAAAAGTTGAAAGTATCAATTTTTCTTGAAAATAAGTTTTCTAAAAATTATTTTTGAAAAAAAGTTGAAAGTATCAATTTTTTTTGAAAATAATTTTAAAAAAAAGATTTTTTTGAGGAGAAGTTGAAAGTATCAATTTTTCTTGTACGAAAGCAATGAGTTTTTTTGAAGAAAAAAATATTTATACTTAAAGCTAAATCATTTTTTTCTTTTTTTTTTTCGTTTTATTTTTTTCCTTTTTGTTTTTTAAATTTTTTTTAATAATAAATAATCCAACGATAAAACCCCTGCAAGTGAAATAGTAGTCTCTTTGCATATTCTTGAGGTGAGAAAATTTTTTTAATTTTTTGTTAAAAGTATTAGAGTCAATTGAGAATAATTTTTGATAATTAATTATTTGATAAATTTTTAAGGCTTATTGGATAACATAAAATTAAGTTGGTATCATCTTTCGATTGACGTTGTGAAGGTGCTACAACTTTTCTTACACGTAATCGTACTCTCGAATTCTATTCTAGTTAGTAGACTTGAACCTATTCTTTTGGGGACCTTTAAACTTAGGTGTTTCTTAAAAGGATAGATTCTTTAGTTGGTCAATCGCACCTAAATAAAAAAGATTGGTGACGAGTTTTTCAAGTCAATGTCTAGCGATAGATCCTCGGATCTAGACTTTATGACAGTTTGACGATTCCACTGGGGACGTCTGAGAGTCAAGTCAGCAAATAAATTTGTGTTATCCGAAAGCCTAATAAAATTAAACATTTTGTATAGATTTTTTTATTCATTCATATTACTTTATTAATTATGTCATTCATATGTATATGCATAACATGAGCTCTATACTCGAGCTTCGTCCTTCTAGGAGGGAGTAAAGTACCTATTACTTTCATGAGGTTTAATACCTCCGCAGTGGCTAGCGAAATACTCTCACTCAAATTGAATTTTTTTCGTTTGTAACTTGTAATGGGTGAGGATTAAGGTGTCTTACTAGTCTGTGATGGACAATGATGTAAAAAGCAATTTAAAAACTTTTAGACTTTAACTTTAAACCACATATAGTGGACCTTAAGAATGCCTAACCTATAGATAGAGCTATCATCTTTTTCTTTTAGAATTAATCAAAAGCATAGGGTCTATTCTTCTTATTCTGTGTGATGTTTTAATTTACTTATTTATTTATTCTTTTTTTTCTGGACATACTAATATTTTCTCTCATTCTTTTGCATTGGTTCATGCTCATATCATAAAGTTGCATAAAGAACATGTGCTTGAAAGACGATCTTTAACAAAAAAATTTTCATGGACTCCACAAAACGATTAGTTTGTTCTTCATCTGTATTAGCTTCTTATGAGTCACCCAACGAAGTAAGGATCCAGTTAGAAAAGATTCAACTAAAAATGAGGGATTGTTTACCAATCGGATATGATTCTACCTTGTCTCAAGAAACATCTATCCTCTTCAAATAAAATAATCTAGAGGATTTGGTTGATATATGAAAGAAGATGAGTTCGTCAAAAGAAGAGCAGTTTTGCCAAAGACGGGCATATAGCATGCCTTCTCACAGTAGTTGTCGATGATTAACTAATCAGAGCTGTAACGTAATTCTGAGATCCTGTATACAAGTGTTTCATCTTCAATGAAGTTGATATGACACCAACCATTGAAGAATATTCATCTTTGTTGGGTTTGCACTTCAAGGCTCCTGATAAGATATATGTCAAAAAACACAAGTCAGGATTTCATAATGATTTGGCACAACTTATGGGGATAGATAAAGAAGTTATGGATTCTTATACAAAGAAGAAACAAGAACAAGTCTGCCTACTGTGGATGTTCTTTCATGAGTTTTTATTGCAACATGCCAACGAAGAACATGGGTTAGATTTATATGCCTTAGCTATATACGAAATAGTGATCTTTTTAAAAGTTTTGGGTTACATTGAAATAGTGGTGGTTGACTTCTTCGAGAGTGTGATCAATGGTTGTAATCCTTCAACGGTAATATTAGCAAAGACTATCAGATCTTTGAGTTATTATCGTCAAAATGGAAGGCGTTTTATAGGCTGCATACAGTTATTATACTTATGGATGAAAAGTCACTTCGAATGGAGAAAATGTGCTTTCTCAAAGCTTTATGTCTGCAATCGAGTTTCGATCAAGAAATTCTGTGAAAGTGGTGATCAGAACAAAAGTCTAAAAAAGAGTGGATAACTTTCCTACAAAAATTGATCAGTACCAAAATAAGATGGTTAGTCCCATGGATGAATCATGAACCTATGTGGTATCAATGTGGAGATAATACAATGGTCCCATTTTTCAGTTTATGGGGAACGATAAATTATGCACCACTCTTAGTGAGAAGGCAGTTCGGAGGTAGAATAGTTCATTCCTATGACGCATGGGCTTTCATCAGTTAGATTTCTCTTACAGCGAGTCAAAAGCATTTCAGAGGATGAATGAGATGATTAAAGCATGAAAAAACCTCGAAGAGTGAGTCCTGAACCGTTTACTGATAAAGTCACTTTAGAGTATTTACTTTGGAGAGCAAAACGAAGACAGAAAATGGTATTCATTTATGAAAGCTTTCAACCGCCAACAGGAGGAAAGCTTGAAAGACATCATCAGAATTAGAGCTTGCGACAAAAAGTTTGAGTCTAAAAATGATAAGTTAAAACAAGAAATCCAGAACTTCGAGAAGAAAAAGATCAGTGAAAAGATAAAGCTAAAAGTCATGAAGTTAGAGTTTGCAAGATTGTTAGAGAACGTTATACAGCTGTTGAAGACTTAGCAAAGCTACACCAAGAACATAAAAGGTTATGTGTGAGAGAAAGAGTCAAAGAGATAACCATTGTTGAGCTGACTGAAGAGAATGCAAAATTGAAACAAGAATATGCTGAATTGAAAGAAAAAAGTTTAAGCACAAACAGAGAATAACATGTTGAATAGCTATCTAAGCAAGTTGAGACAAAAGTTGAATGAACAAGAAGATCATATTACTGCATTGGTTAGAGAGCATAGAGAGTTATCATACTAAGTCTAGTGTGGTAAAATAGAGAACTTAAGAAGATAGAAATACATTGAGCACCAAACGACCCAAATTTGTAAAAGGGTATGCAAGGCAAGAGAGATGGTAGAAGAGGCAGAGGCATTGAAACAAGTGGTGGCCCCAATAGGAGAGCATGGGCAGCGTCTATTAAATTTCATCAAAGAAGCTAAGGCCCAATATGAGCAGATCAAACGATTTTATAGTTATAACTCTAGGATGATAAACTTAATGTAAATAAAAGTTTTTTGGAATAAATAAAATCTTCTAGTTAAATACTATCTTAGGTAAATGTTCTTTGCATACATGTATTTTCATTCATTGCATTCTCACTTATTACACTTAACAAAATAATCATGAAATAGTCGTATAAATTTGCTAATTCTAAGATATGATATTCAAGGTTCAAGGATAGCTTTATTTAGCCAAAACTTTGTCTATCGATATAACACAAAAGCCAGAGCCCGACAAATTGAGCAAAAAAATTCTCACAGATTTTAAAAGCTGAAGAAAGCACAAGAAAAGATCGAGAATGAGTTGAGCAAAATTTTAGATGCTCTTAATAAGCTGAATAAGGAAAAAAGAATAGAAGAAAATATAAGCCAATAAGGCTTCTCATCACAAGAAGTGGCTGATCCTTTGTATCCTTCAGGTTTTGGTCCACAACAAGTCCAACCCACACAAGATATTTCGTCACAACAGTTTTCATATCATGTATACCTCGGAATACCATCAGCTTTGAATTCAGGGCATTACCATAGCTATGTAAATCTTGTATTTATTAAAAAGGCAGTAGAATTTATTTTTGATCTAGATGACTTGAAAAAGAAAGAGCAGGAAAAAGCAAAGGTGACAGTCTTAGGAAGATCCAAAGATTAGTATGCTTGAACAAAGATTACGATCCATAGAAGGGATTGAATTTTATGGTTCTGTTGATGCGGTTGGGCTGTACTTAGTCTCAGATGTAATCATCCCATCAAAATTTAAAGTACCAAAATTTGAGAAATATGATAGTACAAAGTACCCAAAAATTCATATCACTATGTATTATTGAAAGATGATAGCCCATGCCCATAATGAAAAATTATTAATGCATGTTTTTCAAGATAGCCTTACAGGCTCTGCTATCAGGTGGTATGTCCAGTTGGACAGAACCCGCATTCATTCTTGGAGCGATATGGCTCATGACTTCATCAGGTAATATCGACATACTATAGATCTAGCTCCTGATCGTTTGTCTTTACAGAACTTAAAAAAAAAAAAGTAAATGAGTCTTTTAAGGAATACGCCCAGAGATGAAGGGATGTAACATTTCAGGTACAACCTTCTCTGACTGAAAAATAGACTACAGTATTGTTTGTTAGCACTTTGAAACCTTCTTATTATGAAAAGATGATAGGGAATGCA